GTTAGTGGGAAGATTGGGGCTGGGAGAAAGTCTGAATATTTTGGCTTTTCCCAAGTAGCTGCTGTTTCAGCTTATTGTGCTAGGCCCACAAAGTATTGAGGTAATTATGGGAGCAAGGGTCTGTTGGTCTGGCAAAAAAAAAGCAGCTACTATTGGACTAAGAGAAAAGAAGAAAGTAGAGGAAATAAGAAAGCCACAGGTCCAGGCATGAGGCTGACTTTTTCTCTGTGTCCCTTCGTCCTGAGCAGCCTGCCTCCTCCAGGGGAGGGCCTGGGTCATGATTGGCATTGGCGCTCTCCAGAAAGCCTGTGGAATTCTAGCCACACACGTGTCTTTTCACTTTCCAGCATACAACATTGTGCAAACGCGCAATGGCCTGCAGGTTTAATTAAGGTGGCTGGTAGACCAGGTAAATTGGGGAAGGGAAAATTCACCTTACTCTTACTGCCATCTAGATTATCTGGTCACTGAAATCCTCTCTCAGATGACACACAGAAAAGGTCACATCTTGCTTTCATTAGCAGTGATAAGTGCAAGGAAATCATGAGAGAAAAGGTAACACCACTACCTTCTGAAATGAATTAAAGAAAAGAAAAAAAAAATCTTGTTTTTCTCAAGTCAGAACCAACTCTTCCTCTGGTTGACTCCAATCTGAGAAGCAGAATGTTTGACTTGTACGAAGAAGAGAAAGCTTAGGTTAGTGCAGGATGAGAGAAAAGTTTTCTCTCCTCATTTCAGGAGCAGTAATTTACAAGACTGCAAATCGGCTCTTCTCTTTTCTAGATGTTGAATGGCTTCTAATGATGAAATGGTGATTTCTTTAAAGACTAAACTCTACAGAGTCACGCTGTGCTCAATTAGACACCCAATCACCCGCCTCCCACCGCTGGGCCAGGCTCACCCCCAAGGTGAGAAAGCCACAAGACAAGCAGGGAGGTGTCCTGTTGTATCATTGGACCACTCATTCACAGTGACACGTGCACTTCTGCACTCTCACCAATGGACTTCGCACTCTCATCTCTGGTTTAGCAATTTGCACCCAGTAGCCCTAAGTAATCAGAAATGTGTCTTGCATATATCACAGATGCACCACACCTAGACCTTGGCAAACCCAAGCGGTGCTGGCTCGCCACCTCTGGGTCCCACAGCTATACAAACTTCGGTTAATACTTCATTTCATATTGTTTGTTCAGAGCTTAAAAAAGAAAGATTTAAAAAAACCCTTGGTTATTTTTTTGTTTTTAATTTAAAAAAACTTGAACATAATCCCCAGTATAAGAAGCCCAACCTTTTGAGTGAGTTCCTAACTGGTTTAAGCGTCACAGCAGGCAATAGTAAAGTATTAAGTGCCTTAGAAAAGTCAAAAGAAATGCATAAAGCAGTGCATGCATTTTGTTGACACAAAATTAAGCCTGGGTTTGGAGAGGGATTACTTCATTTCAGTCACATCGTTATTGTTAAAGGATAGTGAGTTATTATATAATGCAATATCTAGGCCAAGTATATAACCACCTACACACTAGCATCACTTAATCTAGAAACGACATAGTGTTACTGAATGAACATATTTATAAAATACTGTACACTGCTTCCACATTAGGTCGGCAGATGTAAACAAACAGCTAATTCCATTGGAGTTTAAAATATTATTTTAAGTTCATTTGTCATATAGTCTTTTGCATAACATGCCAGTTTCATCTTTCACTAAATCACAACTTGCCTACCACAGCTCGCGGGACTCATTGGGGGATATACATCAGCTTATACAAATATTTTACAGTGGTCTACAGGAATGTGAAAAGCATAAGCAGATCAGGAACAAAAATGCCCATTTCACAAGGATGCTCAATAACGTGGAATTGGGAACATAATTAATCCTTGCAACATGTGCTTCTTTATTGAATGTTACAGATTTATAAACGATTATAAAGCTGTCCTGTAACGTTCATTAATACAACCACATGCTACAACTATGCTGGGTTAAACACGGGTTACATATATGTTTACATGTGTTTTATAATACAGCATTGCCCAACATATGGAATGGCATAGCCTATAGATATAGCATGATGGATGACTGGATAATATTGATTATCTTTAAAGAAATTAAACAGCCCAAACATTCAGGAAGATTAGACTGTACAGCCTCAGAAAGTAAAAAAAAAAATGTACTATCCAGTTATCTACCATAATATTACCTATAGAAACCATATTTTAGAATACATTTGAAACATTCAGAAGAAACACATTTTGTGTTTTTACAAGTACATTTTTCCCATTTGATTATTCTTATATATATATTTTAAAAGGGGAACTTTCAAAGTGCTAAATAATATACTAGACCTGGAAGCTTAGACTTTAGAAAAAATCCAGTTCTGTAAAGTGCTGCATTCTGACTGCTAATACACCTTTTGGCTTGCAGAAATAACACAAACTAGCCATGACAATTGTCCCCAAGCTTTGCAGCTCCTCGTTCAAATCTAGCAAGGAGGGAGTCTCTCTAACTATAAATATAAAGTATTAGTTAATCAGGAGACCGCCATGGTCATTTTCATAAAACATCCTTAATTTTTTTCAAAAGGAACAAGCAATTTAGAACAAATCATTACATATGGTAGTATATAAAAATGGCACCTTTGAAGCAGATGATTAAACCGAAGCTATTAGTTCCTTGACTCTCTATGACTTTATTTACAGTCCTCAATAACTTGCAGATCATGAGCTGCTTAATTCACAGAGACAGGTAATTAACATCCCGTCCGTCAGGGACGTGGTGGGATCAATGGGCTGGGCATGAGCTGACTGAACAAGGCCACAGAATCAATGCCACATCAGTGCGCAGACAGCCCGGAAATGGAAAGAAATGGGTTGAAAAATAACACGCATGTATGTACACAGGAAAGAAATGGCTCACGGACGTTACACAGTTTGTGTCTAATGTTATTCAAATTTGGCTATATGTTTCACACACATCACAAAAGACGTCAGAGCTTAGTCTGCACGCACAAAAAGAGAACCAGGTAATCACAAGATCAGGACTGATACGTATTTAGTTTCTCGGGTCCTGTTCCTTTCTCTCCAAAATCACGACGAATGGAAACACTCGTGTTGGTAATTTCTTTTCTCACTTCCGATCTGGTCCAGAATGAGGCCCTGGAGGTGCTTGATGTCAAAGAATAATGGTTTCACCTCCTTCCTGGATCCCTCTATAGGCTCTCTCAGAGAGCCTTAGGCTTTGTGAGTGTGCTTGCTATTAAAATCATCAAAACGTTAGGATGTATGTACATGGAACTAGCAACACCTAATCTAAGAAACGAAAATGACGAAATCTTGGTTCAAACTCTGGTGCTGAGACTTGACCTTCCTGAGAATCACAGAGAAATGGTCTCAAAATGTAAAGTGCCTATTACAATCGTATTGATTATTAACAAACATGGTTCTTTTCCCTCTTTATCAATCAATATGGAGCCACGGGCTCATGAACCCTTTAAAGTTATATTGCAACTTCGTGTGTATGTACATTTTTTTCCCCCTAGGGAGAGGGCCTGGAGTTTTCATCAGATCCTCACAGGGGTTCATGATCAGGGAAGTTTAAGGACAAATGATTTATTCTTAGATCGATGTGTGTGCACCGAGAGGAAAACAGCCAGTGTGGGGTCCAATGAAATCTTAAACGTTTTTAGAACAATTATAAATGAGGGGGTCTGAAGTTTTATTACCAATTCACCTAAATACCAAGGAGTGAAAAAGGAATTGCTTAATTCTTTACATATGTAACCTCATCACCATCACCTTTTCTATACCTGAAAACTTGTTAAGGTTTTTTTTATTGTTCATTTGTTTGCTCTTGTTTTTATATTTAAAGGCTAGAGGTGTTGTCCCTATATCTACTTGATCTCACAAAATGAAATAAAAATTGATGTTTTCAACTATAACTAAATAAAAGAACCAGGTAGTATCTTGGGTCAGGAATATTATGTAATTTTCCTTAAAGGCTTTATTTTCTTTTAATCTTCAGTGATCCAAGCAGGAATTTGATTTAGAGTCAAGATTTCTTTACCTTACTTCAAATCCAGATTCTGATCTAGAAACCCATGTCTATATTCCAGAGTCTATAATACTAACTGGTATAGAATTGCATGTCTATTCAGATTTGTACTTGGTGTAAAAGCTTTACGTGGGAAAACCCAGAATAAATGGGTTGTCCTGATTTCAGACAAAATGTGGCAGAGGGCAGGTAGTGTGAGTTGTTTGGACAACTCTAATTTGGTACGAGGAAAATTTAAGGTTATAGGAATTTTTTCAAAATTATAATTTCAACATTTGGTCTAATAGTTTAATGAACTCTTTCAAAGGAACTTCTTGGATATTAAAAAATCTTGGTTATACTTCAAGGTGATAGAAAAGTCCAAGCCTCTTAAGAAAGCTCTATATGTCTGTTCATATATTATATATAAACATGTGTCTCTGTGTAAATGCTATATGTCTATAGGCGGCTTATAGTATAGAACTCTCTATATGGTTTATTTGCTTTCTATTTTGGTTTACCATATCTTTTTTAATAGCTCTGTCTATAAGAAAAATATTCATGGTATGCCTGCAACTGATGGCTTTGGGTTGATACCAAACTTCCAGTCAATTCTAAGGTTATTTATAGCTTTGAAACTTCCTTAAAAAGTACTTTGGAACATTTCCATAGAAAAGATACCAGCCCTTGAAAAACTCCAATTAAATTTATGCTGAGCTCAGATTAGATGGCAAAACTCTAGGTATGAAAATATCCACATATATACCATATATTCATATACAAAATGGTCATGTGATGGGTAGTGTGAAAATTGGCAGTTACATCTTGGAGGTGTTCAGAGGACACGGTGGACTCATGCAAATGAGGAAGGCTAGACAGCGGCATAACACATGATATGAATGGTGAGACTATAACACTATCCCACGTGGCAATTTTAGGTTAGTTCTGCTCACTGTTTTTTTTTTTTTCCCGGAAGTTCAATATTACATATTCAGGGAGTGAATTCATTGATGACAGGTACGGTATGAAATAAATTAAAAAATAGAAAATTATTTAATTACATTCATCCTGAGCTTGCTCGACTATATTTGCTCCGTACATAATAAATCACTTGACTTTTGTTTTTAACATCAACTCTTCTTTCATTCTGATTGCAATACAAAAAAAGGCATTTCTGTTCCCTTATTTTCTTCCAAAAAGATAAACAGTTGTGGCACCAGAAGTGAATAGATAAGAGACAGGTGAACTATGACTGTTACCTTGTTTTTTCTTTATAATGATCAATTACAGAGGTGTTGGCATGAGAAGGATGTGGGACGTTAGGTAGAACTGCTTGCTGCCGGCTTATACTGAATAAAAAGGATGCTCTTCATCAGTCACCAGTGATGAGCCAATGTGAAAAGAAAACAGAATGGAAGTTTAGAATATCTCATTTTGTATGCTGGCCATTTTATTTTATTTTGCAATTTAGCCCTGCATTCTAAGACTCTTGATAATGGTCAGAAATCAACAGATGCCTCCTGGCATGGAGAGTTCTTGAAGCCCCTTGGTTCCCCAGCTCTCATGGCTTTTTGCAGGGACTGGTGACACTCTTTCAGCTCTAACCCTTCTTCTTCCCCTCGTTCCCCCTCCCTACCCAGCAAGTGTGAACATGCCTTAAATCCCCTGTTTTTGGCACTGGGTCAGATCAAATGCTTTCTTGATCTGTGGCCCAGAAGTCACCTTTGAGTTAACACCTCCCAAAGCATTGCTCGTTTTTGCTCAGCTAGGAATAAAGCAGATAGGATTAAAGGAAAGGGGGAAAAGGTGGAGTGGGGGAGAATTTTAGGGCTGGATTCTTGAGCCTCCTGCAACAGACGTTAAGGAAGGTTTAGTTGTGCTTGCTTTCAAAGCTTTGGAAAGCCGACATTCTGGACAGTCTCCTCATGGACAGGCTGTCCCCTCGGCCCTCCGGCTTGGAGGGCTTACTCCTCTGGAAAGGATTGCGCAGGCTTGCCGTGTTCCGCTGCCTGTCGAGTTTGTCACTGATGGAAAAGCTCTTCCTGGTGTGTGCATATGGCGCGCTTGGCTCCTCTGCTGAGTAGCTGTTGGCGCGCTCTATCTTGGGAACCGTGATGTTGTTGGACAGGGTTCTGTCTGAGTTATCACCCTCTTGGGAGGAGAGTGCGACGGCGGCTCTCCGGCCCCTGGCCTCGTTCTCCTCGCTGTCAGAGCCGGGGTGACTCAGTTCCGCTTCTCGCTCAGGATGGCAGCAAGATAAGTCCTCCGCTTTGTCCCCAAGACCTCCAGGGAAAATGGCTCTGTCTGCAATCGCTTGAGGGGCGTTGACACACCTTGTGTCAATACAGTCCGTAATACTTGTGTATTCTGCCGTTTTCATAGGCACCCCGAAGTTGGCGTAATAGCTCCTCGAAGGAGAAAACATAAAGCTGTGGGATTTCACGATGGGGGCCTCTTCCAGAAGAAAGGGCGTGGTGGCCAGGTAGCGGCTGCTTTTGGAACGCTCAATGGTGTGGTACGTTGGAGGGTCTGAGTCCCAGGGGTTTTGGCACTCGGGGAGGTGGGTATAGTCTGAGGAAAAAGACCTAGTGTCCATAGTGGTGACGTCCTCGAAGTCAATGCTCCGGCTTGGAGGTCTGTCTGTGGGTGCAAGAGTTGCATAGGCGCTGCTTGAAGGGGCTGTGGAAGGTACTGGAGCTGAGAAGCTTGGTTCACCCAGCCCAAGGATGTTCATGGAGTTGTCCAGAGGGTCTATATCACAGTGGAGCTCATCCATGGCAGAGACGTAGATGTCGATACACGACGATGGTCTTCTGGAATCAGGAACAATGGCCAAGGTGTTTGCAGGGGCTGCAGGAGCTTTGGATTCTTTTGCTACAGAGTGGGAACTAGTAGCCCGGTGTAGGCTCAGGGACCTTTCTTTAAAAATACTTTCCAACTTTTCTATACCACCTTTGTCTTTCACATTGACCGAATAGAAAGAATGGCTTCGCATACGGGGCATTAAGGTTGGAGAAGTTGGGGACATGGTCTCCTCACCTGCAGGGTCTATACTCTCTTGGAGCTTGAAGGTGTTCCCCTCCTGGCTGTTGAAGCTGCTCTGGCGGACGATGTAGGCTGCATCTGTGCAGTCTGAGGAGGTCCTCGAGCGGATCTTGTTGGACTCGGCCCGCTCCAGACCTGTCAGGCGCTCTAGGGCCGTGGCCATGCGCCCGATGAGGTCCTCTAGCTGCGCCAGCCGGATGTCCACCGTCTGGAGCGAAGCCTTCATGGAGTGCTCTCTCTCGTTGACTTCCTCCAGCCGCATGGACATGTTCTCCACCCTGTGCGAGGAAGAGAGAAGGAGAGTCACGCGGGCCCGGGTCCTCTGCCAGGGTTTAGAGAGCAAGAATCAGGTATAGAGGGGGGATCAGAGCCATGCCTGGGCTTGAAGCCTTCAATGCTGTCCTCCCACAGGGAAACTGAGGGGTCAGAGGTCATCAAGGGGCTAGGCGGAGAGGGAATGGCACTGACACAGTCACTGAGAATCACAGAATCCAAAGCTTTTTGAGCTGGGAGAGGCTTTAGAGATTGCCTGTTCCAGTGGTTTTTAGCTGCCAATCTCCCTTTCCCTCAATGAAATGTAATGCTCAATGCTCGTAACTGAGCCCCACAATGGAGCAGTTCTTACTGCAGTGGCGTGGGGCCAAGTCCCACCCCTGTCCCACTCCTGTGGCCTGGTTGTGACTCTGGGCAGGATTTAATGACCTTAGCAAGTATTCAGGTGTTGGTTTATCAGGGTCACCCACAAAAGGAGAATGTTGCATTTTGAAGGTTTTACGCATCAGTTTTGCAATAGACTTCTAGAATGTAGCTATTTTTATTGCAGCATACATGTAAGTTTTATATTCCATGGATGGAAATTATTTTTAGTTTGCATTGACACAATGATCTTTGTTGTTATTCATGATCACCTTTTGAGAATTTAGTGTCTCCAAAGGAATTAAGATGGCCCTATGACTGAGGCATTCAAGGTTGATCTAATTTAACCCAATCCTTTCATTAATAAAGGGACAGCAAAAATCAAGAAATGTAACCAAGATTACATAAAGTAATTTGTGGTAAACTCTGGGGTATCTGTCAGTAAGTAAACCATCCTACTCCTCTCTCTGTCCCTCCTTCTCTGGGTAGCTGATCACGGATGCCTATATTACAGTTACTTCTAGATGTCTCCACCCTCCCCACTGGGCGTGGTCCCTCTCATATTTCTGTTCCCATCTCCGAGCTGCCAGCGCAACACCTGCCAGGTGTCAGTAAATGTTCACTGAGTCAGTGACAGTTATGAACTTGATTTCAGTTGTCACCCAGTCTGCCTGGCCACTTATTGACAAAGATGGAGGCCACCTATTAAAAATAAAACTGTACCTTATATTTTACCTGCTCAAATTATTAATCACTGGAAAAGGGCAAACCAAAGCCAAGTCACAGGTTGAGCTCAAACTTTCACTTTTAAATGCCCAAAGGTAATTCTTTTGGCTACTTTAAAGGAGACCCAGTCACAACTTTTATGGGGAGGAATAAAGATTTTTTTTTTCCAATCCTCCCAATATGCAAAGTAAATCACTTGACTGCTGACCCTAAAAATGCACGTGAGGCTGGTAGACCCCGGCTACAGAATATGCTGTACAAGGAATGAGGGAATTAGAGCAGGTGTCCTCGAGCCTGCAGTGATGGTGCTGGTGTGACAGGAACACCTCTGTTAGGGAGGAGTATATACGCTTCTGTGCCAGAAGGAGGTATAGTGTAAGAGGCTGTGGAGTTCCTCTCTTAGGAACCTGTAGGCTTTTTTTTTTTTTTTTGAGACAGAGTCTCACTTTGTTGCCCAGGCTAGAGTGAGTGCTGTGGCGTCAGCCTAGCTCACAGCAACCTCAAACTCCTGGCTGGGCTCAAGCAATCCTCCTGCCTTGGCCTCCCGAGTAGCTGGGACTACAGGTATGTGCCATCATGCCCGGCTAATTTTTTCTATATATTTTTAGTTGGCCAATGAATTTCTTTCTATTTTTAGTAGAGATGGGGTCTCGCTCTTGCTCAGGCCGGTTTTGAACTCCTGACCGAGGCTAGCGATCCACCTGCCCTGGCTTCCAAGTGTGCTAGGATTATAGGCGTGAGCCACCACGCCCAGCCTTCTGTAGGCTTTTTAAAAAAATCTCACCGGGGCATGGGGTGTGATTCCCCTGCTTTGGGGCACATTTCTGCCTCTCTTGGCAACCTCCCACCTGCTCCATCCTCCAGCTTCCCCTGACTCAGCCTATGTCCCTAGACTGGTCTCAAGAGCCCTGCATCTGAGACATTTTCTCTTTTGCTCCCTCTGGCTATCCCATGACAAACCCAGTGCCTGTCAGGAGCCCAGCCCACACTGCCAACCATGCCCCAGTGTATTCCTAAAAGACTTGAACATTGAGCTATTCTGTATCTGGCAAACCCAATGCCATTTGCTCAGCTAATTCAGGAGGAAAATACAACTTCTTCCTCTTTCACTTCGTTTTATCATATAAGCACAGCCCAAGAAACAAATTATTTACAATAACAAGTTTGTGTCTCTTAGAGATTTGCAATTACCTTTTACCATTCAGTCTATGGAGTTTGATTTTGCAGGAACTGCAATTTCATTTTTGCAATGCAGTGAGCTTTTTTTTTTTTGAGACAGAGCCTCACTCTGTTGCCCTAGCTAGAGTGCCGTGGCGTCAGCCTAGCTCACAGCAACCTCAAACTCCTGGGCTCAAGCAATCCTCCTGCCTCAGCCTCCCGAGTAGCTGTGACTACAGGCACGCGCCACCATGCCCGGCTAATTTTTTCTATATATATATATTAGTTGGCCAATTAATTTCTTTCTATTTTTAGTAAAGACACGGTCTCGCTCTTGCTCAGGCTGGTTTCGAACTCCTGACCTTGAGTGATCCTCCCGCCTCGGCCTCCCAGAGTGCTAGGATTACAGGCGTGAGCCACTGCCGAGCTTTGTTAAATGGATAAAACGCCTGTTCATGAAAGCGGGGAGGAGGATAGACCATACATTTCTGTAACACAAGACTTTTTGTGTAATGTACTTTAGGTACTGGATCTCACTAGCTTTTTATTGGTGGAAGAGTAACGAAAGGTGGGATAGCTTTATTCTTCCTTCTTCTTTACTTTCTGGTGCCCAGTATACATAAGTTTGGTATTCAACAGAGATATAGTTGCTTTTTTGACATACTTGCAAATGGTCACTGGTCTGAGCGCTGTGAAATAGCTCCCCACCACGGCCTGTGCTGGGGGGGCCTCGCTCCCCACATGCCACCCCCCTTCAGCCCCAGGGGAGCGCCTGTAGTCCCAGCTACTTGGGAAGGTGAGGTAGGAGGATCACTTGAGCCCAGGAGTTTGAGGCTGTCCTGGGCTAATGATTGTGCCCGTGAATAGCCATTGCACTCCAGCCTGGGTGACATTATGAGGCCCTGTGGCTTGAAAAAAAGAAGAAGAAGAAGAAGAGTCAGGACCTGGTTGTCTGCTCCTAGGCAATAAACAGGACACAGAGACTGAGAAGACCAAGGAAGATGAAAGAAGACAGGGGAGGTAGAGGAGGAAAAGGCTCTCTGGGGAAAGAGAGAAGGTGTCGGGGGGAGCTCCAAGTAGCACAGCCCCAGGGAACAGAACTAGGGGAGGGGAGTCTGCTAGAACAGGTCCGAGGAAGTATTCTTAACCAAATTGTAACTCTCCTGTGGGCTCTGGGATGGATTGGAAGGTAAGACTTGACTAAGACAATAATGGACTATTTTATTCATTTTCTTCCAGAATTGTTATGTTGAACTAACTGTCTAACTGTATCATCATTTTAGACATGGGCCTAACTGATGGGAATTTGATGTAGGGGGTTACAAAAGAATAAAAAGTCCTAGATTCAAATTTACATACATTTCCCCCATACAAGGATGCTTCCTTTAATCTTTAAACACGTGTCCCTGAGAAGCTCAGTGTAAATAGGCACGCATCGTAGATAACAGGCCTGAGGGGCAGATGGAGAGTTTGGGGTCAGGATTGTAGTCACGGGGAGCTGACTCTGATCAAATAACTCAGGAGACAACGTGGGGATGTGGATGATAAGAATTTATGGATGGATAGGAATTCTCAAGGAGATAGATACCGAAAGTGCCTCAGGAAGAAAAAGAGGCACTGTGGAAAGGAAGACATTCCATGGCAGGAACTCTCCATTTAACTTTCTCTCTTTCACATCTCCAGACCCCGAGTGGCTTGTTTCAGAAAAAACTCAGGAGGAAGCGATCACAACAGAAACACGATGGGGTTCCGGGAAGCTGTGAGTTGGCCAAAGAAAGGGGCTTCCATAGGTTGGTGCAAAAACCCCAGCGACAGACAGACTCAGCTACAACTAGACTCTATGGCCAGCGAGATGAAGAAAAGAGCATTCGAAAGAAGAAGAAGAAAAAAAAAAGGTTGGCAGGCCATGTCTGTAAATTTCCTACATTCCCCGAGTGCTAGTAGTGGGGTGCTTGCAGGATGAAGGGAAGGGCAATCCCGTGTTGCATGGCTCAACCCTGGGGCTCTTGCTGGGAGAAAAGGTCACCCAGGTTTCAAAGGAAGGCAATGATGCAGAACAGCTAAAGCCGACTCTTGCTTGTCCACAGGCTGATATCTAATTTGTGAATTATTAAGTCCTTTAGAGTCACCAGCCGTTCCTGTTGGGTTAATTATCCTTCTCACTAACTCTGAGAAGAAAAAGGGAAAAAAACTTTAAACTCAACTCAATGGAGAGACCAAAGATCAGCTCTGGGGAAAGATATGGTGGGAAGTGGGGAAGCTCACATTTTTTGGCTTATACGGCTTTTTAAAATTATTATTATTTATGAATTTTCTCTATCCTAAGTTATTGCTCTCTGTCACTGTTAAGAATACTTACAAGTTAGGTATACTATTAATAGTCATGTTTTATCACCTCTTGGATTTAGATGAAATGAAAAGGGCAAAAAGCCCACTGGCTTGGGAAAGAATGTTAGATTAAAAGATGACACCAGAAATAATGCTAAATCCTAGTTTGCTTAAATTGTAGAAAATTCAAACCGCAACTTCTCCTGACAAGTGGAGCCTGACAGGTGGGTGATGGTGAGGATGATCTGGATGCTTTAATTAAGAGTCTGAGAAGCAAATGCCTCTGGGCAGGCAGATCAAGAATGCAGGTAAAGCAGGCAGGGTGTCAGCTGGCCCTGGCAGAGGCTCACTCTGTGGCAGTAGAGAGCATGCCCAGTCCAGAAACATATTTGGGATTAATTTTAACAATCACTGTGAATCCCACAAAACG